AATACCGTGAAGCAAAGAGTAGAATTAGATGTTTAACTTGGGCTTCCACGAGGTTGAAAGATTTATATGTGCCAAGAAGACCGTGGCACGACAAAAGCGCGCCCGATTAAACCGCGTCGCTGATGTCATCAACAGGGCGACAACAGCCAGCGCGGAGAAAGAAGGGCGCTTTAAATAGGGCTTTGAAAGCAAGCCGATTCAAGTTAAGGTAAGGGTTAGAGTTAGGTTAAGGGTTAGGTATAGGATTAGGTTTAGGGGGGTTAGGTTTAGGTTAATTTTAGGTCTAGCGTTTACAGCGTGCTTCTGTCTCCGCGCTGTTGTCGCGCTGTGATGACAGCTACGCGGTTTCGTTGAGCGCCCTTTAGTCGAACGCGGTTTTGTGGTGGAACCGAGAAGACAAAAATGTGGTAGAACAACTCTCCCCTTTCCTCAGGAGTTTTGGAGAAAAGAATTGGGGCAATTCAGGAGTATTGGAGAAAATAGAACATGTTTCTGTCACAAGTGGCAGCTAGGTATCAAATGGTAATATAATTTTAAAATCCTGGTGTAAACAATGGGCTCACTTGAGCAAAAAGGTTTGTCGTTGCAGGAATAAATTAATGTGTTCCGGATAAATATAGCGGAAAGTAGTGGGAAAATTTGTTTCACTTCACGAGATTCCTGCTTTTTTTCTGGACTCAGTAATAAGTTACGTTTTCACACTTCCATTTATTAACTTTGAAACAAATTCCATATTTTAATTGTGACTCATTTTTGAATTTACAAGAATTAGAGATGGCATTAGCTTCTCGATTGCCATTTAATAGGTTTTAGTAAGTATTTAATTGAAGAGAGTGAGTGGTGTTAACTTAGGCATATCGATTTAGAAATGAAGGCCGCTGAATTCAGGGGAGAAGCATAAAAAGGAGAAAAGATTAGGATATTTAAACAAGCAGTGAAAGGAAATATACGGATAAATAGAAGAAATAATGAAACACAGGCGAAAGGGAAATAGGAATTGCGTTGCAGAATAACTTTATTCTAAAAAAAAAATAGATTCCCTAATCTTAGTTGATAAATCCTATAGACAATAAGGTGAAATTTTTATTTATGTTAACAAGGAAATGGTGCAGTAGTTACCATAGGCATCGAAAGGTAATAAAAATAACACAGAATAGATTTGAATAGATTTAAACGCTGTAATTTACATAGTGTTAAAATATCTGAGTTAGATAGGGTTTATGTTTCGTGCTCAGCATTTGTCTTAGTGCAGTGTGTGAACCCAGTTTTGTGAGTGGTAAACCAATGGTTTGTATGATGTGTGAATATAGATTGTATGACCTTGAATTTGGTAAATGCTGATTTGATGTAAGGAGTAAACTTTCATTTGTATACGTTTGAATTGTGTTTTACAATGAAAAGTAGACCTGTAAAGTTGAGGGATATAGTAAGTATATAGAAGAGCCGTGGTGGCGCAGTGGTTAGAGTGCAGTACTGCAGGCCACTTCAGCTGACTGCTATCTGCAGTTCGGCGGTTCAAATCTCACCGGCTCAAGGTTGACTCAGCCTTCCATCCTTCCGAGGTGGGTGAAATGAGGACCCAGAGTCACATGTATATGTGTGTGTGCACGCACATACATTCTGATGAAACAGGAGTATTAGTGGGGTGCAGCACTGCAGGCCCCTTCAGCTGACTGCTATCTGCAGTTCGGCGGTTCAAATCTCACCGGCTCAAGGTTGACTCAGCCTTCCATCCTTCCGAGGTGGGTGAAATGAGGACCCGGATTGTTGTTGGGGGCAATATGCTGACTCTGTAAACCGCTTAGAGAGGGCTCAAAGCCCTATGAAGCGGTATATAAGTCTAACTGCTATTGCTATTGCTATTG